GTATTTTACCTGGGAATTTTTTTTAATATTAAATATTATGTATAAATGATCAGTAAATTTAACATATTGGTATTATCAAGTAAAAGCTTTAAATTTATTCTTACTCAAACCATAGTATTTAGTCTTAGTTTTAATGGATTGAACCTGGCCTAAAGGGGGAAGGGGGTTAAAAGAATAAAATTGGATATAATTTTCAAATAACAGGTAACATCTATCATAAATATAAGAAGAAAATTTTCATTCCCCGTCATTTTTGACAAGCTATCTACTAGTAACAATATATTATGTAAAATGTGACATAAGGGTATAAAAAATAAATTTGCGGTTATGCCATATATAATCCCTTATATACTAAATTAATAATGTTACAAATAAGCTTATAATAGTAAACACAAAAATAAAATGAGCGATCTACAAATAATAAAAATAAAGACTTTATGAATTATATATAATAAAGGAGTCAAACTATTAACGGTGGAATAAGAATACCAAATATAACAACAACCAACAGAGCTAAGCTAGACCTAGTCAAATTTTTATACATATATAAATTATTTTACATAAACCAAATTAAGAAGATAATCAAGTATATTCAAATATTTATATATTCTTATCCTAATCTATTTCTAATTTCCAATTCTCATATATAACTTTTCTTTATTTCCCCTCTCCCAAAGATCTCACCCATTTATCAATAAATTTTTTCCTTCTTATTCTTTTACCTATTAACAAAAATTCCTATAACATTATAAATTTATTTAATATAACCTTATTATCATCTTTTATATTAAATTCTATTTTTTACACAATTTTTAATCTATTATTTTATATATCATACAACTAATCAATTTTATTTTTCAATAACACTACACTCAACATGTTATTTTTTAACCTTATAATTAAATCGTCTAGCTTTTTTGTTTCTCAACATTCTCAGTATCATCTGTTTCCATTTTCTCATTTTCTTCTGCTTCAAAAATTAATATAATGTCAATTTCCAAAAGTCTTACAATTTATTCCTACAATATTCCTGGCCTACTTTCAAAAATAACTATTCTTAGGAAATTCCATGATCTATATGATATTAACATTATTTTAACACAAGAATCTCTTATTATCAATAATATTAAAAAAAAATTAAGAGGTTTTATAATATTCAACTCTAACCTCTCCCCTATCCACAATGGTGTTGCATTCATCATCAAAGACTCATTTCTGAAATTTATTTCAAACTTCACTCCATTCAATGATAGAATTGCTAGTATTACATTAAATTCTAAAGGTAAAAAAACATCTATGCACCAGCTAAACCTTCAGAATATCCTTCCTTCATTTCGTCCCTGACTAGTCACCTAAAACAAATTAACCCCAATCACTTCATAATTATTGGAGGAGACTTTAATATGAAAATAGGCAATGAAAACATTGATAATATAGTAGGTCATGCAGCTCTAAATCAAATTACTAATAATAACGGCAAATTAATAATTGAAATATGTAATAAATTCAACTTGAAAATTATCAATACCTTTTTCAAACAAAAAAAATAACTATTTCACCTTTAAATACAACTCGCCTTATAAAAGTCAACTTGACTTCTTTATCACCAGTAGGAAAATGTCCTCATTTATCCGTAATTTCTCCATCTTAAATGATTTCGACTTTCTCTCAGATCACCGTCCTATTTTCCTGAACCTATTCATCAAACCTTACCTATTGAAAAATCTTAACAAATCTAAGATCAATCAACCTTCCCCCTCAATTAAGAAATCTTATAATGTAAATAACTTAGCTATTCCTTCATTAGCCACCAAATTCCACAATGATTTAAAATCAATTCCCACTGACAACTCATGGCAATCTATTCAGAATACTATCATTTAATCAGCCAACTCCCACCTAAACATCAAAACAATTTATCCAGACTGGATTAGTTCCCACACCACCCAACTAATCCTATCTCTACCTGCCAAAAATAGAAGAAAATTAAAAAAGAATGCTTCCATCAAACTCAAATTAAATCAAATCAAAAAATCTATAAAAAAAGACAAACGTAATTACATTTCATCTAAACTCAATCTCATTTCAGACTTTAAACGTTCAAACAACCTTTATGATGTCTTTAAAACTCTCAAATTTATTACTTCTTCTAATGAAAAAAATTTTCATAACATAAAAATTGGTAACTTTTCAATCAAAAACCCAGAAGATCAATTAAATATCTTCACAGACCATTATCGATCCCTATTTAACACCAAATTCCCTTCTCCCAAAATAATTTCCTCATCCCAAATTCTATCACACCCCCCTTTTCCTCTAAACAAGAACGAATTTATTACAATAATAAAAAATTTATAAATCCTAAAGCAACTTCAGACAATACTCATAACGAACTTTTAAAAATTTTCCCAGAAACCATTACCAATCTTCTTTTTCCTACATTAAATAAAATATGGAACTCAGTCACTTTTCCCCCCAACTGGTGTAATTCCACTATTATAAACCTCCCAAAAATCTCCAACCCCTCCTCCATCCATGATTATAGAGGAATTACCTTAAACTCCCCTTATTACAAAATCCTCACAACATTCATCCTCAATCACATCAAAAAAACCATTGAAATCAACACTCATACTTCTATAGCATCATTTAGAAAGGGTCGTAATACAGTAACTGATCACAGCTTTAAAGATCAGACTTGAGAAAGCTCATCTTCTTAAAATTGACACCTTCATAATCTTCATAGACATCTCTAAAGCTTACGACTCAATCAAACACGAATTTTTATGGCACACTCTTTTTAAATACAAAATCAATCCGCATTTTATCAAAATTATAATGTTTATATATGAAAATAGCCTTGTTAACATCAAATATAATAACCTCGTCTCTCCTTTTTTCAAAACCAAATGTGGAATCAAACAAGGCTGCCCCTTGTCCAGCGTCTACATGAGCGGGAGGGGTAGGAACAATTTGCATCATATTTTTTCGAGGGGGGGGGGTAGGGGGTAAGCTGCTTTAATGGGTGTAGGATAAATTTTTTGGGGGTTATCTATTAAATTTTGAGATGAAATAGGACAAAATTATTGCTGTAATAGTAATACAATTCAACGACCAAATTTATATATTGCAAACAATCATACACATTGTTTTCCAAATAAAACTTTCTGCTATCCGTTTAAATGTAATTTAAAAGGTTTAGATATTTCAGCAAGCTCATAATGCCATAATAAATAATTCATTGTAAATAATAGATGTTTTAAAAGAATTTATTATCTAAAAAATAAATTCTTTATATTCACAAAATATCGATAGTTGGTAGTAGAGATTGATTAATTTAAGTTATCCTTTATAAATTCTCTGAAAAGAGTATCAATAAATTAAAAGAGTAAAAATGATAGTAGGGAAACACCGCCACCGAAGGCGGTTGTATTTTTTTAGGGGGGTAGGCAAGGGTTTTTGAAAGGGGTTTGCCTCCAGTGAAAATCCTGTCATGTAGACGCTGTCCTTGTCCCCACTTTTTTTAAATTTAATAATCTTTTAATTCATTCCTGCAATTTCTCAAAAGTCAACTGGCTTTGTTACGCAGACGACATCTGCATCATTACAGAAGACTACTATATTAACCACATTTTAACAACATTATCATCTAATCTTCAACTAATCAATCTAAAAATTAATTTAAAAAAACTATTTTCTTATCTACTTCGCCCAAATTTCAACAATTATCCTTTAATAATAAAACTTTACTTTTCAATAACTCGTTCAATTATCTTGGTATCACAATTAATTCCAAAGGATCAGTTAAACCAGATATTTCATCTGCTATTACTAAAGCCTCAAAATTTTTTTTCTCCCTCAACAAATTCTGGCACTCCAATCTCATCTCTAATAAATTTTAAGTTCATATCTTTAAATCTTATATTATCCCTTCATTAACATATGGGATAGAATCTTGGGATAATTCTAGATCAAATCTACATAAAACTCAAACTTTCATCAATAAATCTCTAAGAAATATCCTAAATATAAGATATCCACTAATTATTTCAAATTTCAATCTCTTAAATACATGTAACATTCTCCCCATCTACAGACTTCTAACCTACAGAAAAATTGAACTCCTATGTCATACTCTAAGACATGACCACTATAGTACCATTTCAGATGCTATCTCTCAAAAACACTTCAATTCAAAAAGAAAGAAACAATACCACTTATACCATATTTCCTGGTATGGTCAAATTCTTTATATTTTGAAACTTAATAACGTTAGCAACCTATTTCTAATCAATATATCCCAAAATAAACCAGACTTAAAATTCTGGCTAAATCAAGCCATCCTAGATTAATCCCTTCTTTTTCCCCTCAATTCCAAATAATCAAAAAACCATCCTTCACTCCTTATTTTACCAATAATTTTTTATACTCATTATCTTATATTCATTTCAATTGTCAAATATTATAGTAATACAATAAAATTTATAATAAAGAAAAAAAAATAAATAAAGATAACAAAAAATAAAACATTATACAGTCTTATTTTCTTGTTCTTTTTATCTCTCCTCCTTCTTTTGCCTCACTTTTACTTACTAACACTTAATTTATCTTTACTGTCTATCTTAACGGATGCCAGCTGTTCCGTGAGAGATGCCATAAGCTCTCTCAAATTAAACGGGCCCAGACAGTAGGGTAAATTTTCAGTGCCCACTTAATTGTGGGATGTCTCCCCGGTGTTTGATAGGATAGGATAGGAACACTAAAAGTCAATATAATACTTTTATCTCACCATTAATATGTGACCTCAGGAAATGATATACAATACTATTTATCCATATCCCTACATTTATGAATACAAATTCATATATTTTATGTTCATATATTTTACATTCATATATTTAACATTTTATCTAATAAAATCTACAGAAGATTCTCCTTTATTTTATAAAAAAAAGATATTAAAAAAAAATTTCATATAATAGTTATAGATTTTTATTCCCGTCAAGTATGACGGGAATAGCTGCCAGATCTCAATAGATATTTTATGTAGAATTTTTACTATTTTATTGAATTAATGAATGCTCACAAACGAAAAATAGACATATTATACAACAACAGGGCACGAAAACATGTTAATTTTTATATACTTTCTAATTTACATAAAAATAAGATAGGTTGAAAATAATATTAAAACGCAAATTACACATGCAACTATATGTCAAAAACTGAATGAGAAAAACATATCTATAAAACATTCTATTGAACATGTTAATAATCTAAAAGCGAATCGAAAAGTTTGTTATATATTTATTCCAATATGCATTATTAGTTATAGATGTATTATACCAATATGCAATTACGCTTACAATATAATAAAGTAAAATCACTGATTTATGATCAAAAATTTTTTAACATACAAATTGAAAAATTTCTAGACTTATTAACTGTATAATCTATTTAAAGAATATTATCAAAATTTTTTTATAGGATGAATTATATAAGCACATCAGCCATTCTTCTTATGATAATGAAAGAATATGTAATTTGATAACTAAAATCATGACTAAATCTGACATTATAAAACAATTGAAGCAATCCAAGTTTATTAAATATTTTTTATTGCGTTTAATATGTACATTTTATAGGGATAATACACTGTTATTTACAAATTTAAAAATGATTATTAATGATGTTGAATCTAAACAGGAATCAAATAGTCAATTTCAATATATAGAAAAAAATAATGAAAATAAAAGTATTTCAAGGCAAAATTTGAAAAAACTACTTAATGATAAATTTAAACCATTATTGATTGATATCAAAAATGAATCTAATTTGCCTTTTAAATGATATTTATATAACATATTTATATGCAGTGACCATACATCAAAATTTTTAGTAATTATATTGTGAAAATTAGGTTTTATATAAATATATAGTAACAAAATCTTTAAATTTTTAACAATCATAAACTTTGACAAATAATTTATGTTTTTGTCCAGTAACTTTAACATCAGGCCACTTTAGCAATTCTATAAAATGATTTTTAAAATAAGAAATTTGAAGTTTTGCCTTGTTATAGTGTTCAGCTTTGAGTCCTTTTGGGTATTGGGTATATTCTATCTATTAATAAATACAATAATTTAATATATTTAAATAAAGATTATGAGTTAAAGTGTAGTAATTCTATTTTGATTAACCTTAAATTTGTAATGGCTAATATGTGTTCATTCAAAAATTATATTGTCTGGGTTTTTTATAAATATAATGTTTAACTATAAAGTATTCTTAGGTATTTGGCTTGTCAAATTGATTTGGTAAAATGACCAATGTTTTACTGATCAAACCCAATTAAATATTTTTATGACAGTATTCACTTTATTAACTATATGTAATAACTGTTTTAGCTTCTGTACCTTGGCCTTTATATAAATCCTTAATTTGGGACACATCCATTTCTTCATTACAAAAAAATGTAAATTCTAATCTTGTTAATATAACCAAAAAAATAGCTGTTAACAGATTATGTTTTTTACCAATATCTCTTGGAAATATGTCAAGCAGAACTTATTTTTTTTAAAAATATAGGTGGCAAAATAAAAGCCCATACATCAAAATCCAAGTAATTTTATATTTTATAATAAAATATTCAAATTAATATTTTAAAATATAATTATTCATGTTTTTTGGGATGTAGTCTCAATTCTGCTTTAATAAAATGAATATTAGTTTTATATTATGATTTCAAAAAAAAAATTTTCATAAATAAATGCATTATATTGAATTTGGTTATATTTTAATTCATTTTTGAAATACTGTTTTGTTTTCACCTTTTGTGGTAGAGTTGTCCTCTGGTTCAATTGAATAAAATGTTTTTAATTATTGTAAAATTGCCATAAACACTAACTATTTTTCCAAGTGTTGCTAAATAAATTTGAGTCGATTATTAAAAGTGGCTAACTCAATATTTTATCCAGAAAAATATAACGCAAGCCTAAAGATTTTGCTCATAGATGGCATAAAGATGGACATTATTAGCAAAATCTTGGAATACTAAAATATTGAGCTAGCCATTTTTAAAAATCAGCTAAAATCAAGCTGTTTAATAGTACTATTTTCCCATACTCAAAGTTTTTGGTCGATTTTAGTTCTTTGAATGAATATTACCCCAAACAAAACAATTTTTTCTAAAGAAGTTGAACTAGGAAGGGTTAATAAGATATTTGCTACTTCCCTTAAAGGGCAAGGTGGAATGTTCCTTCCACTAGCTTTATGCCCAAATCTGATTAATGGTTATGGATTCTACCACATGTCACATATTTTATTTATCAAAGATATTGTTTTTACAGCAATGATTTATTATATCAACTAAGATGGCTTGATAATCACCACCTTACAGAATCATAGTTCTTTTATCATATTTTCATTGAATTCATTTTTTGTGAGATATTGGGTATCAAATGAGTAGGCAGCCATTTTAGATAATTTTTTTTCTTTTTTCAAATATGTTTGTAATTTTTTTTCTCTTCTGACAACGAAAAATTCGTTCTTGGTACAATTAAATAATATTGTTTTAAGATAAATCTCATTTTTTGGGACATGCATTTGTGTCCTTGAATTCTCAACGGCATAGCTGCAAGTTTAATTACATTTAAAAACTTTAAATTTTTTATCTAAAATTGTTCTTCATCTAAGATTTAATCACTTATTCCTCTGTCATATATTACAAACAGTTTCTTCAATAAAGGCGCTTTTTAAGATCTTTTGCAAATTTGTATTTGTTGCAAAAGGTTTTAACAATTTTTTTAATAATGGACATGCGAATTCCACTCGTTCTAGATCTGAAAATATAATTGTAATTGGTGCGGCACATTCATGAAATTGAATATCGTTAAAGGCCGATTTGTATATTAAAATTCTCCAAGTAGCTTTCATATTCGCTGCAATATCCTAACTAAGGAATACACTTTTTTAGGATTTAATTCTTCATTTATATTTTTAAATTGCCGGGAAATATAATATGCCGTAAGGCGATTTTCCTAGGTAGGGCTTTGGTTACTTTGGCTCTTTATTTGTTTTATTTTAATGTATGTTTACTTATATTTATAAAATATGCAATACATATTAATATTATAAATGTTAATGACAACACATAAAGAAACTAAAACAATTTGCTAAATTCTTCCTTAAAAATGCAAATAATAGAGCAAAGGACGATTTCGGTTTGTTTATATCCTGATCCCTAATATCAAATATTATATCAGATAAAAAAATAACAGCGCTTCAAAGTATCTTATACAAACTTGGCATGTAATTGCATTTGATAATGAATGTATAATGATCAAATCACTTCTTAGTTCAAGTTAATAATTCTCATGACCCAGTGGACGATTTTGAATTCTTATTACAAATGGAAGAAAATAAGAAAAGTTAAAATCACAATTTAAAACAAGACCGATTAATAGGTCCCATTATGAATTCTTTTAATAAATCCTTTTAATGCCAATAAACGAATTATTAATAGCACAAATATTATTGCATATTGGGAAGGAACAAAGTTTAAGAAACGTGAATAGCTAAGCAATACAAGTTTTGGTCGGGAGAACATTTTCAGAATTGAAATATATTCTATTGCCACAAAGAGCAATATTGGACAAAGATATTGTCCTATTCATACTTATGTAAGATTATAGCTTTACTTAGATTGTATAATGTTAAATTATATAACGTAGTTTTTATTTATATAAGAGTATAATTTTACCAAGATAATGTGTTATATTTTATATCGTAGTTTTAATTATTTTATTTTTATTTTGGCCTTGAAAGAAATGTTGATAATCAAACAATATTTTATTATTATTTATTTTTTTCTTACGTTATTTGTAGTTTTATTTAAAAAAGGAAGAGAAAATTCGTTGAAAAATAGAGAGGAGATGAGACCGAGATTTAATCGCGAGAGAGAGGGGGGGTATTAATTGCTATAACTGCAAGGCCATATATTCAGAGATTGTCAAGAAACAAAGTATTTTGTGTGTGGAAAATATGGTGATATAGTCCCGCATTGGCGGAAGCAAAATAAATTGAAATGTATCGGGTACGGGAGATTTGATCATAATAAGGAGGAGTGTAGCATAGGCAAATATAATATAAGAGGGGGTTTTCCACAAAGGAGAACGGATCAAAATACTCATGTGCAGGCTATAGAAAGTGAAAGACGCAAAGAAATAATTATGTCCAATTTTAAGGAAGAAAATGGAGAGTATAATGCGGTATGTTTTTAGTGTGGGAAAGAAGGATATGTGGCAAGAGATTGTATGAGTTAGTGACTATAAGGGTGTGGCGGAGGTAAGGGTGGAGAAATATAAAGTTTACCAATAATGTTAAAAAAATAAATATGATACATGAAGAGATAGCGTATGACATTTGTCCTAGAGTGTTGAATGAAAGTGTTGTTTCAATGTTATTTGATACAGAAGCAGCAATTTCAGGGATGGGGTACGATAATATCGAAGTATTTGGCCAGATCGTGAGAGCTACACTACATCCTCACTATCTGGCCCAAACTTCTGATTTAATCCTGAGGAAGTAGAACCTGCTTCATGGTAGCATAGTATATAGTCCCCCAAAATCTGATAATTGATAGAATAAATATTTTTAAATTTCTTGATGCCAGTCATTTTGCTTATTTTACCCGGAGACTCTTTACAGAAGAAAAGTTAGAATTGTCAGCATCCGAAAGATAAATTACAAGATTTGGTTCATTGATGGATATGCATATGTCATAAAAATCTTCAACTGAAATTGAGTATTACAGTGATCAAGGGATGCTAACGGCTTTCTCAGGATAGATATATTAGATGTTATTTTAATCATATATTGTAATCATGATTTTATATACAAATATAAATTGACAATAAAATTATAGGTTAACTTTAAATTGTGTTTTGTATTTCTTTCCCTATATTTATCAGAAAATATAATTAAAACTATTTATCGAGCTATATATGTGTACAAAATTCAAATTTGAACATTTATAAAATTTAATTTCTTAACCTGAACTGAACCTTTATAATTTTTTCTTCCTGGAACTTTAACAGAACCGAACCTATATATCAAAAGTTCGACATTGGGCCCAATCATTCTTAATTTTAAAAATATAGGCTATTAGTTTATTTAGCTGAGAAGTCTGATCTGATATATCTCGAAATGATGAGTAATATTTATAAATATATAATAATGATTCCTTTTAAATTGCAATAGTTCATTTGTTTATAATTATTTATTTTATTGGTATATTTTTTTATATTCATTATATCCTATTCTTTATTTTATAGACAATTTCCCCCATATTATAAATTGGATTGATTACACCCCCTAATTCTTAAATAATTAAAATGAACATTGTAAAAATACGATTCAATCAACTTACCATAACTCCAAAATTTTTTGGCATAAGACATCTTTCATGCATCTTTTCTTCCGCTACATGGATCATACAGAGCACAAATCTATGGTTTTCTCTACTAGTGTTAGCCATTATTTTTACCTAATTCATTAAATGGAAAAATTATTTAACAATTAAGTCCAGAAAATCGAATAATAAAATATTCATATTCGATTCGTAAATTCCGAATCGAATGATTTAGTATTCATGTTATACGAAAATAATGTATTCGTATACGAATAACGAATTATTCGATTTATTTAAAAAAAGTTAATATTTTTCAGATATTTTATTTAGTATACAATATTTAATTGCAAAATTCAATAATGTAAAATAAAATCATAAGAATAGTTATTGTAATTTCAAAATGAATTGATAAAAAAGACAAAGGGTATACTAGTTGTTCTTTTAGTGACCTGCCATTTTTGGTAGTACAAAGTCTATAAAATTAAAATAGACGCTCAAAAAAAGCGCTATTGTTTCCTCCTACTGATAGCATGATTTTACAAATTAATTTTGCTTTATGAAATTTTAAACAAGAAGTCACTACAACGATGAGAAAAAAAAAATTTATATTACAAGTGCCAGAAAAATAAGGTATTTGATTAGAGTGGCTCTCATTTAAAAAAAAACAAATTAATTAATAATATTTGCTAATAATTCTAAAATTAATTAATAATTCGAATAATTTAAATTTATTATTCGTCAATTTTTTTTATTCATATTCATAAATTTAGAAATTGAATTTATAAATAATTTTCGATAGGCCTACTTCAAATGAATAAATATAAGAATCTTAAGAAGAGATTATGATTTCTTAATATAAATCCTATATACCAATCATACACAGCCATAAATTTTTTTTTAATATTAACTGACAGAATATTGACGTGGGATTAGCAAGTCCCACTAGCTTTAAATTTAGTAATCATGATTGAAATAATATCTAAACAAAATAAATACTCAAAACTTTCTTAAATTATAAAAGATGGATAAAACTTTGCTATAAAATTTAATTTATATATAAATGATTAAATAACTTTATAAATTTAAAATTCTGTCATGTAAAAATCTTTTGAATTTGACATCAAAATTTTATTTTTTAAATAAATTTTTAATAATTAATTATTTCAAGATTTTTTGCCTATAGTTACTAATAAAAGCTATATTAGGATACAATTTAAACCTTCTACTCTATTTAATTTTAAATAAGATTAAGTGGTTAGCCAAACCCCGGGGTTTACCTAACTCTAGTCTTCCCTACTTGAATTTTTGTTTGGCAGGCTTCAATTTAGGTACAACCTTAGAAAGAAAGAAAAAAGTAAATATATGCTTTACGAACAGGGCATTTTTAATGTAACCACCATGGATAATGCCATTATCTACATATCAAGGTGGCAAATGATATTAAATGCCAATATAATACTGATTCAATCTGGCATCAATGATTTATAAGTAAACAAGGATCTCCCGATGTGTGGACATACGTTGGGGTTACAATAATGGAATTTTTTATCTTTCATATGAAGTTCTCCGGATAATAATATTCTATGGTAGTCCTTCATTTGTCTTTATCCCTCATTTTATCATGATTGAGAAATTTTTTAAACCCTGATGTTTATTAAATAATTGAAGTTTATTTTAGGGCTCGTTTCATGCCACTTATAATTTCAGACTCACTTGTTTTCCATTAAAAAGCCTACCACCTCATGGGAAATTTAAACAAGTATAGTGCTTATCTCAGGGGTATATTGTAGATGACCACTTCTAGGGATATTATATTAAGTTGCGAGTTTCTTATGCTGCCTTAAAACTATCCTAGACATAGCATCACGAGCTTTTGTTCATAGCCGTTACTTTTCTCAAAAAAAAATTCTCTTAAATAAACTCTTTAGGAAGTAGTCTATGATGGGGAAAATTAAAATATGGGAATATTTTTAATTAAGAAACTATTTAGAATAGAATCTAACCCATGTCATCCTTCTATTGTTACAACATTTATACTATAGTTTTTACTATTTTTGGCGTATTCTCTCAAATAAAAATTTGTAATCTTTAAAATACAATTTATATAATATCAATGATAAATACTAGCTAACTCGTTAGAAATTTATATACATGTGCATTTTGATCACATCAAAAAAGGGTAGATACTCCTGATAGGTTTATAATTTTTTGATAGTCCCTCAATTTCAGGCAACGGCATCGCTGTTTGATTCAATTAAATTGTCTTTCTTTAAATATCAAAACTACTTTTTGATATGAGTGGAGTGAGGACAGGGCTAGCAAAAAAATTTCCAAAGAGTAGTTGTAATTAAATTTTGGCTTAAAAAAAATAAATTTTATTGGAATAAGAAGATATATAAAATATGTTATTTTAAGAAATTCGTTTGTAATCCAAAAACTTTCAAATCCTTCCAATGAGATATACCTTAAACTGGATCTAGATCCCTTACAGTCATGACCTGACACCGAATCGGATTCATTTTTTGCAAATACCCGACCAAATCCACTACCGGATTTTTTATAAAAATTTTATTAACTTAATGACTATACTTAGAATTAAATTAAATTTACTCAAATACTATTATATAAAAATCTTTTACCCAGACTAAAATTGTTTACATGCAAAATCCTTTACTTACTATCTAATCCGAGGATTAATCTATAAAGAATTCAAAAGTAGCGGATGAATATATTTTTCTTTCTTTTTTCTTCAAAAATTATTTTCATGAAAACTTATAATCAGTAAAAATTCTTACATCCGAGTCTATCAAAAATTTAGCCTTGGGCGCAATCTTGAACAATGTATTGACATAATGCATGCTATTAGCTGATATTTCATGTATACCTGACTTACCGTCTTTCCGAAGAAATTCATTTTCAAAATTGAATGTAACGTAAATGCTCTCATCAATTCGCGCCATCTCCACTTTCTTTAAACTTAAATTGATACATTTAAATGTGACTATATTCTATTGAAATATGTTATTAAATTAGTTTTCTAAATCATTTCATCCAATATACTACTGGTAAAGTTGTTAAAGTATCTATACAAACATATGGTATCGATAGCAAGATAAACAGATATATTTTTAGTGGTATCTGTATTTTTTAAATACATTTTAAGATACATCTTGATATAATTCTATTTTATCTATTTATATTTAAAAAAATAGTATTTGAATTTAATTGAACATTATATCCGAGTTTTATGCATAAACAAACCTGACAAATTTTATTTTACGCAATGAATGGCGACAACAAAATAAATTTTAAATTTTAGTTGATGAACTATCAAAGTTTTTAACGGATTGTAAACTGACAACTTCTGAAAAAAATTAAACAATATAATATCATATTTTTTTTAGGTATCCCTTACAGGATATGAATAATGATATAAATTTTTCTCATCAAATTTTGAATGATTTTTTAAAAATGTGTGTTGGGATTTTAGCATATTTAAAGATTCCAATATAAAGTTGCATTTCATAAAATATAACACCACTCCTGAAAAGTCACCGGGTAGAAAGACTTTTAATGTGGCTTAAAATGTCTTTACAGATAAACGGGGACACAAATGATAAAATTTTGAGAGCTCTATTACTGAAATTTAACAATTATTATCTATAATAATTATTAATTTAATTATATATTTCGTATATGTAAAACTAAAATCTAACAAGTATTATTTATCATTAAATTATGTATTTTGTAATATCAACGCAATAATTTATTTTAACTCACTTCAAAATTTGAATTTTAATAAAAATATATATTGAGGAAAATTGTATCGGTATCTACATACAAATACATTTGTAGCGATGTATTTGTGTCTATATCTGAATGCATATAATATCATGTATTGATCTAGATTCAGCTGAAAAATATCTTTTAACAACTCTGGTTAGGTATTATCTAGAATCTAGTATTAAAAACTGATTATTGAAAGCTTCTATTAAGGCTTGGATATTTGAATTAACAAAAACAATATCTCAATAGTATCTGAGTGACCAAATTTCTATCAAAACCTACTTTTATCTCATTTTTACGTTCCGCCATGAAGCGCTTTAATTTAAGAGATTAATGTGCGTGCCCTAGAGACTTTAATAGGCTGATTTTAACCTGAAAGCCCCTTCACCTAATGTTTAAATTTTTTAACTCATTCGCTCGTCTGCTCTGGTTTATAAAAAATCAACCCTCCCACCTGCCCATTCATCTAATAAATTTGTTTACCTCTTCTCTCCGTAATAAAATCTTTTTTTATAATATAAGCTCGTTCTGTTCATTTCCCCTGAAAAATATTATAAATTCTCTCACCCGTCCTCTCGCTTACTATTTGACATCACCACTATGAATTTTTTATAAAATGCTTACTAAATATTTAAAAATGAATAGATTTACAATTTTTTAGTAAAAAATTCCATCCTTGGGAAAATCCTGACAGTATCGTGAGTTGAGTTTTGGATGATCAAAGTGCAAATATCTTTCACTATATTCTCCCTTTTTCCAACTTGAAAACAAATTAAATAAATATATTACATAACGATTTTAATTTTTAGTTGTGCAAATATCTTTCACTATATTCTCCCTTTTTCCAACTTGAAAACAAATTAAATAAATATATTACATAACGATTTTAATTTTTAGTTAAAATAACTGTAAGACCATATCCACGCTCGGATTATTTTTGAAACTTATTTCTGTTTAGCCTAGACTATTCAGCGACACCCTATTCTGGTTTGTTTTAAGTTTCTACAATAAATTAACGATTTGCCTAACTATGATTAAAGTCATTTAATCGTAAATTCGTCCACCTTTTTCATTGGTCTATTTAATATTTGTAAATTAGAATTCATCAATAATGATGCCATCCATTTTGATCGAAATGGACGAAAATACTATTAATATCTTACGATCAAAGGTGACCCTCCCAAATAAATATTACTTGTTATTTATAAGTTTTTTAGATAAATTAAATGAAAGGATTCCATAGATCTAAATAACCTCTTTCTTTTTTTTGGCGGTTAAGAAAAGCTATATAGAATGTAAACAGACAACTGTTTAGAAATAAACCGAGCGTTGACACGGCCTATGGGATTTTTTAAATTTATTTTTACTATTAAAAAATAAATGGATCACTCGCTATTTACTTACCAAAAAAAGGCTATATTTTAGTATGTCATTCTTAAAATTAAAATATTGAACAAGATAAATCTATTGCAACAAATAAAAATGTGTCTTTGGAATTCAAGCCACTTGAAAAAAAGGTCTTTTAAATCAAAATAAAATTCAAACTTGATAAAAAAACCTATTAAATCAGATCCACTATTCATTCTTATAATAAATGATTCTGATAAAGCAATGTGGCACTATCAGATTATCGTTACGGGAACACCATGTCAATAAATATTTCCATACTAAAATGACATTTAAATTGATTAAAATAAAAAAGAATCTACATATAGGCTAATGCCTGATATAGGCTAGTGGGGTTGATATATATTAGATGTAGGCGAAGGCCTGATTTTGGCTAGAGTTTTGCTATAAAAGTATAATTTTTGCATTTTTAAAATCGTTTTATTATATATTATTTATCTGCTCTGCTTGATTCTCTATAAAACACATATATGGGGTATGATTAGCTTCAAAAAATAAATAAATAGTGTATATATTGGCATAAAAAAAATTTCAATTTACCGACACCTGCCTTCCATAACAATAGCCTCAAAATCAAGTTACAAAATCAGATATTATCCTTTAGATAAAATGACGTCCTGGTTCCTGTTTTAATTTTTTTAAAGGGATTCTGCTTCCGGCTTTCTTAAAATTTTAACAGGTTTTATTTCCAACTATGTTAATAAAGGAATGAAAATTTGAAAAATTTAATACGCTAAATAAACCCAGTAAATGCATATAGATAACTGCGCTTCTGGTTCTTTTAAGTTTTTAAGAGAGGAGTCCATGTCCAATCTTAAATAAATTCTTTTAAATTTTATTAATCAAATGGTAGAGTAAAATGATATATTTATATCTCTAATAAAATATTGGTTTTTGCCTATTTTCTGTTAGTTGTTAACCAACTCAGAAAGTCAGGCGTGATTGCCACCTTTAAGTTGTAATAACGATTATTTTTCTGATCATTCATTCCATAATGAGATATATACTTATTATTTTTTTTAAAAAGAGTATAATGATTTAATATATTTACTTCTAGTTTTATTTTTTTTCGGCCTAGTGATTCGATTTCGGAATGAGTCGGTGGTATTTGGCACGGTGTACTGAACATTTTGATAAATCGTAACCGCTTTACTATTAGAATTAATACTGTGATTAAATGTAGGAGGCTTTCTTGTTATATGTCTGACCAAGTCCTCGGTAATCAAAAATATGGGAATATCATCCTCATTGCTTGAATCTATGTATTGCTTCCTTAACTTCGTCACTTCCTTACTAGATAATTTTGTATCGCCCACATAATAATCGGATTTAATCTTGTCAATTTTATTTGAACCTGCAAGAAATATTAAGGACATTATGACGAAGAGAATATTGCCAAATAACGATTGAATTTTTAGTAGTTGATACATCATGTTCTCAAATGTTTGTTTTTCTATAAAATTAAAATTTATATTATGCAAAATAATAATTATCTTTGTTATTTTATTTATTCTTATATTAATTTTTTTATGAAATTCTGTCCCAAATATTAATTTTTTTAAAAACAGTTCCTTTTTTTCCACCCACAAATACAAATAAACATTTGATTATTGATAAATAAAAGAATCTCAAAATTACCGTTGATTTGTATGAAATAAAGAAAAATAAAAAGATAAGAAGGAAAAAAAAATAAGAGAGAAAGAAATAAATAAAAAAGAAAGAAAGAAAAAAAACAAGAAAAAATTTATTCCTCTACCTAATCCTATTGCAAAAAAAATGTATAGACCTGCCATTTAAAAAAAATCCACTTGTAAAATTTCGGAAATAGATAGAACACTTTAATAATATTATAGAAGCTTTTGACCACAATTTTTTTTATAAATTTTTTAGAGTTGAGAATTTTTTATTAAATTGACCTTTTTTAAGAGTAATTTTCTGAAAATTTAATATTTTTCAGTGATGTAATATTTAATCAGTTTTAAAATAATCGCAAATATCCTATATATTCTGTGTCTAAATTTATAATTTGATAGTGATCAATTTTTTTTAAATTTCTATTTTAAGTATTTTTTTAAAATCTTAAATTGGCTCTAAAGCTAAATAAAAATAAATCTAGTACAAGGTCGATTTTTTAAATATTAAAAATAAGGAATATGAATGAAACTTAAGAGTTTAAAAAAAGGAAAAAATTGTATCTATTAAGAGCCTCATGCCCTAATTTGAGGAAATTTTAAATAATATTTATTAGATCAAATATAAATTGTTGACGATATAAATACGACACTCCGCCCTCATTTTTTTTGATATACTATTTGATTTTGTCAAAATAATTTTATTGTAATATTTTCCAATTTACAAAAAATGTTTGATATTTCTAGCAATTGTTCTCTTAAACTATAACAACTACAAAACAATATTTTTTACAGGAAAATTAAAATATGCAACGATATTTCTTATCCAACTTGTAAAAATGCTCAATAATTGAAATTTAAAATGCCCCTTATCATGCACAATTAGAAAAAAAATGTTTGTAATATTTGAACCAAATTATTCTTTAATCACTACTATTTTATTGATAATCAAACTTATTGATTCTCAGGAGTATAATAGAGAGGAATCTTTCTCCGGATTCACGAATGTTAGCGATTCAAAACTCAAAGATATTCCGAAAAGTTTTTTGAAATTTATTTATAAATTATTTTAGACTAAAAAATTTTTCGAACTTGATCAATAACCTCTTATTTGCTACCTACCTTTATTCATTACCAAATCACTAAACCAAATAAGCTGATCGAACTTGTAAAATAACGGGTTAACGCTTAAAGGAATCAAAAATTAATTAATTAAAGTAGACCAGTTGTGAATTAGAAATATTAGTTAAAGCATTTTTGTCTTCGTACATTTTAATAATCTCGTTATTTTTTTTAATCAATGTTTGTATTTTTTATTAATTATTAAATATCTAGCTTTAGATACCTTATTCCAAATGACTATTTTTTGTATTCATAATAAATAACTATATTTTGTATTCTTAATAAATATCCTAAGTATGTTTTAAAAACAAAATAATATTTGAAATTTATTACAAATATTTACTGACCGATAATATTTATTAGCCTATTGGCATATTTTTTTTTGAGTTTGTAAACTGACTAGCAATAATGGTGATGTAGCCTTAAAAATTTGAAGTTGGGCCATATTATATTTTTTTTAAAAATAGGTATGGACACCCTAAAAAGGGCAATAAATGGAGATGAAATTTATTTTGTAAAAATTTGAGATGCAAATATTTTTTGAAATTTAATATAGTGTAAAAATGGTAGGTAAATCATGTTATTAATTTTAAATAATTTATATAATTCAAATAAAATAAAATAATGACTGATTAAAATGATGTCTATAATATTCATCCTAGCAAATCTCTTTTAATAACCTTTCCAGCGCCGTAGCCAGGGAAGGTGGGTCCCTCCCAAAACATTCTTCAGCCACAAACTTGACCTCCAAATTTATTTCTAATCGCTTATAAAAAAACTCCAAAATATTGGCCCCGAGTAACCCTTTGCCTCCTCATCTCAACCACGACTTTGAATACTCCTTTTCTTTTATTGGCTGTCATTATCAGACCTATGGTCCATTATAAAACTTGCATGAAATGTCATAAGGTGATAACAGAGCTCGCATTCGGTAGTAAATAGCAACGACGAATATAAAAATGGAATAGTATTAATAGGATTTTAAAAAAAATTTCGCACCATAGGTAAATCACTAAATTCCTTCTTTTGTGACCAGTTATCTTTTTCTAAATATTAGATTCCAGATAGGATATCTAAATAGATAGGATTTCATAAAATTAATATAATATTTTTAATTTGGAATTGCATTTATTAAGGTCTTTATAAACTTTTACATTGATGCCAGTGTTCTCCCGTTTGTCTCCAATATTACTAATTTAAGTTTATTATTCTAGCATCTTGAGCGATTATTATATGTTCTTCTTTCAAAATATCGAATAGGGTTTAGTTTAAAATTATAGAAGAGATAGAACCTATCGGATATATCCATAAAGATTGTAAAGCGTGATTTGTTCAATTTATTGATTTGTTACCTATAAGTAAACTGACAACGATAAATCTGATAAGAATTTACAGCTATTCAGAATGGACAAAAATGGCAATTTTGAACAGCTGTTAATTATTCCAGAACTCATTGTAAATCAAGTAACCTTCCACCATTCAGCAACTAATTGCCAAATATAGAAACTATTTATCCAAAGTCTTTTAATTTTTGGATTGGCTATATAGAGTTTATATCATTTTTTATAGAATCGGATAGATAATTTTAAACGGTCATTTTAACAATGCCAAGCTATAATAGCTAGAAATATGCACAAAGGTGTGCTACCACATTGAATCTATTCCCAGTCATAAAACTCACTAAATCTTTGGTGTCCGACTTTCCCTGATTAATCATGGCATTTTTTAAAACACCATTCTAAATAATGATATCTTAGATTACTTTATCTGTATGAAAATTATTATAAGTGGATTGATTTTGACAAGTTTTTACAAAAAAATAATAGAAATTATTTTCCCTTCTAAATTATTAAATTTAATATATCAAACTTTGACTATGGTTTTACTATATTTTTCGACTCATAAAAAATTTCATGATTTTGAATATATTCTTGAAATTATTATAAAGGCAAAGAATATGTATGCTCGACTATAATGATGACTGGGAGAATAGGGACACCATTCGTGTTACCAGAATTAGCATATCTAGAAAATTTGTAAAAGCAAGTGTATTATTATTTTTTTAGATTTCAATAAATATTTATGCAAACTTGACAAATTTGTACCTTATAATTTCAAATTGGTTATAAAGTTGTAATTAAATAACTAGTTTAGGCCTGATTCGAGAATAATCATTATAAAAAATTTAAGAAAAAAATAATTATAATTATTCAATTTTTAAATTATTTACTTACATCATTTATATTTATTGTTTTAAAGTGAAATTTTTAGCACATCAATATATATTTATGTATCTAAATTATCAATAATTAAAAAGTCCGCAAACTTTGCACCTGGGGCGAAAACACAACACTCTTTTTATTCCTATGAGTGTGCGACAAATTTATAGATTCAACAAAATTCAGGGAGCTTATCATATCCCCGCAGACGCCATTTACAGAATGAACGCGATTTTGTATACTAGGAACCAATCGGTTGTGAGAGTTATCAGCGATGTTAGTTTTTCTGTATTTTTAAAAGAAACGAAACCACTTTTAATTTAATTTTGTATAAATTTTTATTTATAGTTAAATCTAGAAAATTTTATTTATTTTTGTAGATGTTCGTTCAATTCAAATACGAATGGGGTGAAGAAAATAATTCTTCTCCTCGACCTCAAATGTGTTTCTTGGAATACGACATTAAATTATATATTAGATGCATCTTACCGAAAAATTACGGGGCTCAAGTAATATTACAATAATTTAAAATTTATAAAAGAAGTAATTATTCTCGAAAAATAATTACTTTATTCTCGAAGAATAATTATTTTATTCTCGAAGAATAATTATTTTATTCTCGAGTTATTGGAAGATAAAAAAAATGAATATCCCTAAAGTTTAATTACTTTCTGTTCATTGTCAACCTTAAACGATTTATTTAATAACTAGCATTTCTTTTATATAAAGTTCGTTTTTTATTTAGTATTTTAAATGATAAAATTATTTTTTTTAAGACCAAATCACTTTTAATAATCCAACTTACTTTGTAACCTCGATCAAATAGAGACTATTTAAAGTTAAAGTTAAGCATGTTAATATCAAATACACTACCGGCCATAAATGACTGCACACCCTGCATTTTTACATAAAAAAATTAATAACTTAAAACTTTTTAACTTATTTGGGTAAAAGCGAATTGATTAATTAATTTAAGATGTCTAGACATGTTTAGAAATAAAAAACTCGGAATTTCTATAAATCTTTCTATGAAATTTTAGCCTTTAAAAATAACATGTCAAAAATGACCAATTTGGTAAAATAGGGTTCATTAGTTTTTTTCAGCAACAATTTTAAGTTGCCCATTATTTTTTGGAAGAAAGTCATTTATCACATTCTAATCTGTTTATTAATACCTATTTTTAATTATAAAAAATTCTTAGATTTTTTTTGTTTTAAAATCATTGTTTAAAGAAACTTTCAGATAAATTTTAACGAACATTCGACCAAAATGATTAAAAGAAAAGAAATCTATTCCAACTAAATGCAAAATAATTAATTTACACATAAGTGGTAAAAGTAATCCGAATTGTCAGAGAATTAACTCTAGCACGAGGAACAGTAGATTGTATACTTAAGAGATTACGCAACAATAATACAATATCGAATCCAAAGAGGCCTGGAAGACCCCGCAAAACGACTTTAAGCGAAGATAGGTATATAGCAAGGATCAGTAAACACAATCGACGCCTTGTCGCCTCAGAGATAGCTGCGGAGATTAATCTGACTCGTGAAAATCCGATAAGTGTCACAACTGTGAAAAGGCGCCTTAGGAGCTTTGAACTTTATGGTAGGGTAGCGGTTAAAAAGCCACTCTTGAGCAAATAAATAAACTCAAGCAATTAGACTGGGCACGAAAACATTAATTTTGGACATCTGCCAACTAGTACGGCGTCTTATGGAGTGATGAGTCAAAATTCGAAATCTTCAGTTCTAAAATCGGGGGAGGGTCTGTTATGGTATGGGGGTGCTTAAATTAAAGGAATCCTTAACAAGGTGAGATACCGGCAAATCCTTGAGGACTATGTGATTTCATCAGGAAAGTGTTTGATCGGGAATAACTTTTTATTTCAACAAGATAATGACCTAAAGCATTCATCCAGGCTATGCAAAGATTATTTACAAAATCTACAACACCACGGTATTCTCGAGTTGATGACTTGGCCATCCCAGTCTCCCGATCTCAATCCAATCGAACTTTTATGGAATCACCTTGATCGACAAGCGCGAAAAAGCCCTCTAACCTCTCATTTGCACCTTTGGGAAGTATTACAGAGAGAATGGAACAATATCACTTCCGAATGTTTAAAAAAATCTCATCGAAAGATTACCAAAATTTTTTGCAGCAATTATTAAAAATATAGGTGGTCATATTGATGAGACCAAAATTTGTTCTTAATTAATTGCTATGTCTTTTATTTTTTGTAATTTTTATGCAATAATATGTAAACTTATAAATAAATTTGATAAACCTCATATTGTGTGTTATTTGTCTTATTTTAAGAAAAATGTTAAGAAAATGCAGGGTGGGCAATCATTTATGGCCGGTAGTGTATATATAATTTATAACGATTATGCATTTCGATTTATGATATTTTAATTATTCCCACGAATACCGAGGAAATATGATCACTGTAGAAATTAGTAAAAATTTGGGTGATGTGTGGAACAAATATTATTTATTAATATTTGATTGCAAGCAGTAGCGTCACTAGGTGGAGAGCGCATGGGCTCATGCCCCTAAAAAATTTGAAAAGACTCTTCAAAATTTTGATTTTTTTTATATTACTAAAACAAAGGTAAATAAGCTAAAAAAAAGAGAATGTAATTTTAGATAATGTTAGAAAAAAAGTTAGTTTTGAAAATAATTTTATAAATTATTTTGAGCTACCTGAGATTGTAAAGGCTAGTGACACCCCTGATTGCAAGACTAAAAAAAGTAATAGTACATTAAATAAATAAATAAAAAATGATGATTTTTTTAAAATGCTTTTATGATTACTTTTTTTGATTTAAAAAGAAACGTATTATATTTCCAGTTAAGTTATACTCAATTAGGAAGCGGCGTTAGAGTGGTTGAAAAATTTGACAATAAAAGCATAACCTACATGTATCACAACTATTACATAGATTACATTAGTTGGCCCGGGGCTATGGTAAAAGGAACACTTCACGATTTCAGGATTTATTTTATGAACTGTTAAAACTAAATTATCATTATATTCTTACCGATAATTTATTGTAGAAATTTTATAAAAAACGGATCTGGTTATAAAAGGATATGTATTTAATAAAATGTTTTTTTATCTATAACTCAAAATTAAATTTTCTCTTATTTATTTTCCATGAATTATTTTTCTAATTCACATTTTAGCTTCACTATATTCCATTTTCAGACATTTTTTATATATCACTTTACGATTCAATTTGGTAATTGTGGGATGAAATAATTTAAATATTATAAGGTTTTACAATTAACATTATTGCATCAAAAATTTACAAAACTCCCATTAGAGGGCATCTCCTTATATCATAGATACGGTAAAATAACCTCCAAAGACTAGTATCTCATACCAGTAATACAGAGACATTTCAATAGGTATTAATGAAAATCTTTTATTCATAAGACACTTTATTTATAAGACACACCAAATGAAGTGGGATGATAGTATTTCTGGTATATTCTTTTTAATTTATAAATTTTTAAAATAATTATTTTGAAGATTTAAAACTGCGCCTTTCCTAAAGTCATTTAATTCAATATGGTCATTTATTCTGCAAAGACAATGCATACTTTTTTGGATTTTTACAGTCTCTAACTTTTTTGATATATAGATTCTATTCCGTTAAGGTTCCAGGAAGATAAAATTCATATAGGTCTAAATTCGGATTAGGTTAAAAAATTAAATTTTATAAAGGTTCAATCCGTTCAAGTTCAAAAACCATTAATAAAGCTTCATAAAGAGTTAGTCATGATTATTTTATATATGTTATGATAAATATAGTGGAATGCGAAAAACAACTATTAAAATTAACCCAAAATCTTTGGTCAATTTTATTTGTATATAAAATCGTGATTCGTTATTACAAACGTACAATTAAAATATCATCTGATAAATCCTTTTTGTTTTCTTTAGTGGTGTATTTTTATCTTGAAAATGCTGTAGACCGAAACCTGTATAGATGGGACAGACATGGCTTTTGTTGTTGATAAATAGAGTTTTAGTTGCTCTTTTCTTCCACCTTAATATGCTAGATTATCTGAGTTTTAAAAAAATCTGTTCGTTGCCGTTAAAGGAATTTATAATGGTATACCTGTAAGATATGATATATTAATTTTGTGGTAATAAAATATAGTATAGTTTTTATATTGTATAAATTTATGCATTGAAATTATAAATAACATAAGCTTTATTTTAGAAAATACCGAAATTATATAATTATAATAATTAAATTTAGAATGGGGGTCATCCAGGGGGGGGGAGTGGATGATCGAAGTTGGAAAGGGATCTCTAAAGAGATTCTCTGTTGTAGGTAAAATTAAATCCCCTGGCTTGGATCTTCTGTGCCAAATTTTTTTTTCTATGTTTTTAAATAATTGAAATCTCGTGCTCAAAGATTCTTAGGGTGCTGTGATTATAGGCATTAAAATTAAATTTTGGTGGTCGGAATAATTTTTTTTAAGGTTTCAGCAGGGTCATAGCAAAGTCGGAGATTTGTTCTAGCTGAATAATTAATACACGTGAAGTTCCGGCTTGGACTATATTAGGTAATGTCCTCAAAGCTAATTTATTTATTATTTGGGGCTAGGTTGACGTCTGATTTGTAATGTAATAGGTGGTGACCTTTATTTTAATTGTAATTTACGCGAAAAACCCAAGGTTAAATCTGGGTATCCCAACTATCATAGCCAGTTTTCGCTTTAAAAAAGTTACTGTTGACCTCAAGGTAACCGATCGTAAGAAGTTAATCAACGGAACGGGTAATAAAATCCAAATATTTTTGTGTGTGGAGTTGGTCTGATATAAGATTGGGGCAATTTCTGTTCCAGGTGTCAAGGGCTAAGATTAGGTCGTAGCCTGGGATGAGCGCTTAGAGTGTGTACAATTCATGGGAGGAAAAATTAGAAAAAATGAAGGCTGACATAGATAAACATAAGGGTGAGTGGTTGCCAATCTCACCAGATTTACATGATAAAGTGACTTGCTGAAAGGCAGAAGTGAAGAACTTTAAGTTCAAAAGGGATTCCAATAGGTCTATAATTTTAAGTTCATAGGTCAGAAGATCGTTAATTTTGATGGGTGAGGACCTCGTGGCATTGATTATATTATGATGATGCGATATAATATCGTTGAAAGCCTTTTAATAATTGATGAGTAATATAAAAGATCAAGAAATTATATAATAGAAGTCTTTATAAATTATTTATGGGATAGAAATAATTCTCATAAAATTTAAAAAATATTTATAACAATGTCAAGGTTTTATCAATTTTTTTGGAGTAATAAAAGAAGAAAATAAACGAATATATTTTAAGAATAGACACATAATGACGGTTTTAGAAAAGTTGGTTCAAATTTATTATTTTTTTGTTTCAAGCCTTGTCTAATTTTTAGAATTTTTTCTTCTATAGGAATCACTAAATATTTTCATAACGCGATTGACTTGATGTCTGGAATTGTCAAATATAATAATTATAATTGTTATAGAATGACCATCCCTATTCATATTATCAGTGAAATTTTTTTGATCATTCTTTTAAGAAATATTTAAAAATAAATATTTACAAAAGAAAAATATTCATCTATAGATTTTGAAAATAATAATATATTTCTAATATCATTTAAAAACCAAAGAAGGCTATAAAATTTAAAATAAGGTTTATAAATAAAAAATTGAGATGGTGGTTAGTTCGAAAAAGATATATCGGAGTAGCTCTTACTGAGAATATAACACAATATATTCCGAAAATTAAATCTCCAGTGGTCTCAATCGGAGATATTTAAGGTTAAAATAGGTTTAAAAAAAGGTTTTCAACTGACCTTAGTAACGCGTTTCTGCCTTAAGCCAACGCATCATAACATATGATGGTAGAGATCCCAAATTCGAACCCCTATTGACAATTCAATTTATTGGTAATATACAAATAAATGGTTCTCATATTTAAAATTAGTTTTCAAAGATAAAATAAGATTAATAAAACAAATATTTTGAATAATCATCACGATTCATTTCTTATAAGTTTAAATGTCTCTTTAAAAAAAAATTGAAAATAAGTATTTAAAAAGAATATTTATATTATATAACAACGTATACTTATATTAATAATCACCATGATGCACAATATACACGGTATTAGGGAATTGATAATGATGACAGAAAGTTGTAAGCTATATATTAATGCTGATTCATGAGCAGGCATGTGAACGGGGAGCGGTGAAAATTAGTTTATTTTAGGGGCCACCAAATATTATTTTTATTTATTTAAAGTCAGAGTAAGTATATAGATACAAGTTCTAGATTTTTTTGAAACGAGTGTAGGAATTTTAGTATATTTAGAGATTATCCAATCATTTGTTATTCATAAAATATAACCCCACTCTGCTGTCAAGGGCTCCAGCAGAAAGTTTTTAGTGTTGTTAAAAATGTCTTTACATCTAAACGGGGGTGCCGTAATGACAAAAAGAATGAGAATGTTTTATTATTAAAATCTAACAATTATTAACAGGCACCTACACAAGAATTTGCTATGAAGGTGGGGGGGGGGGGGTGTTAATAATTATTCTAGGAATTATTTAAGAATATCTTTTTCATAAATTTATTAGGACTAGTAACTATAAAATATTGACAATTTCTTCAAATATAAATGAATGATAAATATTAAATGTATATCGGCGCATGAATTATGAATTACTATAAAATAAATGTCACGAAAAAAACTTTGTTAGTAAAAATATATATTTTATAAGCATCATTTAAAATTTGATATATAAATTTAAATTATATTAAAAAAAAATAAATGTTGTAAATATAAATTAATGCACAAAAATATTCTTAAGAATTATTTCAAACATATAAACTTGTAAAGTATTCATGAAAAATATGGTATTAAATAATGGGGAAAAAATATAATTAAGAAACATTTTATGTAAAATCCAAATCTTTGGGATTGACATTGAGCTAATTTTTCAATGATTTCATCAGTATTTAGTTACCTCCCTATATATATATTAAGAAGGGCTAATACCCCTTCAAGCTTATTAGAAATAGTACTTCTCACTCTCAGGCATGTTTTTTTTGTTAATCCGCCAAATAAATTTTTTCTGTATCAAGATTTGAAATAGATTCAGAAGGATTCTGCGGCGCAGATTTGTAAGTGCTACCTGATTAATCAAGAACCTTTCATTTATT